ATAAATAAAGTAGGCCATGATGACTATTATAAGTATATAAAAACTATCAACTTTGTATATAAAAAAACTATCAATTTTGTATATAAAATACTTTGTGTACATTTTAACGATGATTGTAATTAATGTCAAGAGAGTTAAAGGTTGTATATGTAATAGTTTGTGTGATACATTAGATCATTTCAAAATCTCAAACATTAGTTAACACGATATGAATACAATAATGCAACATCTAGATGACAACATAATCAATGACACAGTCTAATTCTGATTTCGATATGGCTGAAATGAGTAAAAACCTTGATAAGCATCAAAAAAAAAAAAGTAAGTTATGAGATTATCAGTTTTTTCTTTTTGATCAATCATACATTGTAGTTAAATTTGTAGACTCAAAAGAAAAACTAAAAGTTTATGACTCTTCTTAATTTATAAATTGGAAATATAATAAATAACTCGATAAGTCTATTCTAGTAAGTTCAATTAGTTCTTTTATAATTTTTTTGATTTTCCAAATGAAAAAAAGAAATGTTATGATGGAAGCAAGGAAGACAACAATTCTAAAAGCCGAAACGTAAACCTTCAAAGTTTTTAAATATGGCTAACAAAAAAGACGAACAAGAATAGTGAAATGGATGTATCATATTGTAAAGCATGTTGCCAGCCCCTAATAAATTGTAAAGGTGAATTAGAGAGGCATGCTGATACAGCCATTCATATAAGTAACATAATGAAATTACCAGAAAATTACATGGAATTTTATTTGGTCATGGAAAAAGTCATGGAATTTCTAAATTTTTATTGAAAGTCATGGAAAAATTATGGAACTTTTTAAAATAATCTTTATTTTTTTCTGCTTGTGATATTTTTAGAATGCAAAGAAAAGTAATAGTATGTCTTATTATCTTCAAAGGATTAGGAATCTACCTGTTAAAAGAACTCGTAGCTACGCTGAAAAATACTTATTTTTCCATTTTCATTGACGAGACAACAGAAATATTAGTAGAAACTGACTACTTGTATATAATCAAGCATGAAAAAAAAACTGGCTGCCATAATCCAGTATTATGACCTCAGTCTTGGTCGTCTCATGATTAAGGTACTGGAACTGGTGGAGGTTCAAGATGGAACTGCAAAATCATTGACGGTTTCTATTTTGTTACGAGATCACGGAAAAGGCTTGTTGGATTTTTTGCAATACTATGTTTGGCGCACACAACTCAGTCTCCGTCCATTTGAAAGCAATTGTCCCTCACTTGTTAACTGTAAAAAGTTCCTGACATAGTATTCACCTAAGTTCTTCCGAGGCCTGCTTGAAGCTTCCAAAGAAGCTTGAAGATTTAGTACTTTACCCACAACATTAAAGCGAGGGTTGAATTTAAAGATTTTCAAGAATATACAAAATGTTCAGAACATTTTATTTTAAAGCCAGGCCAAACAAGGTGGCTCACTATGCACAATGCAGTTTGTAGAATTCGGGAGCAGTGAAATGCTCTTATGTTATATTTCGAAAAGGATTGTAATACAAATCCGAAAGCAACTAACGATTTGATTTTTCTGCTTTGTCTGATTGAATAATTAAACCGTACTTAGAATTTATAGAGTGCCTTCTAAATACGTTGACAGACTTAAACACAATATTTCAATCAGAAATTCCGTTACTTCATGAGCTCCGCAAGTCTTTCAATCAACTTGTTAAAAATTTGGCAAGCAACTTCATGGATAATAAATATATCCGAAACCAAAATAAGGCCACAACAATCGATTCGCGTCTTTTGTCGAAGTATTTACCTTTGAGAAGTGTATATGTTGGTAAATTGATTTAACTATTTTACTCTTTGTGATAATGTTTTTACATTTAAGATGAAAATAAATTTCACTATTAAATTAATAATAATAATTTTAATTATTAAAATGTTATTTAACTTATGTCAGGATCTGATGCTTTTTATACTATTGATGAAGACCTTTGGTCCTCAATAATGAGGTCATTGAATAAAGAATATCCATCCATAAACCAGATCGTCCCTCCACCTCAATTAAATGGTTATTTAAAACTAAGTTAAGTGGTCTTGGAAGACATTTCAATGAAGAAGCTTCGAAAATAGGTTTGTTTATCTTTAATATTATTCTCAATTTGCAAGAATTTTATCGGGAATAAATGTCTAATGTTTCTTTATCTTCCATAAGCACAACCACAAACCGGAAATCTTCAAAATTGATCAGTTGCAGATTTTGTCGATGCATTTGCGACGTCTTTGTTTGATGAAGAAAAAGGCCCCTCTACTCTACAAAAAATGCGAGATTTAAAACAAATGGAAGATTTTTATTTTATTTTTTGTAAGATATTTTTTAAGATTTTAAGAAATTTATAACATGATAAATATAGTAATAAATATGCAAGGTGTATTTTTTTTTTTTTTTTTTTACAATATATTTACTTTTAAGATTTTTTGATGAGTCGTAATATGAAAAACCATCTTGCCCCATTTGCCATCCATTTATAATCCTTAAATAAATACGTGCTAAATTTGATGTGGCTATCATATGGGCCATACATATAAAACTCACGATCTTGCCTCATTTTAAATTTTAAATTTTAATCAATTGTAATAATTCTATCGCAATGCATTGTAAACTCTTGAATATTCGATGATATCATGTGGCTTACCGTTTTGATAATTTTCAATTTATAACTGTTCCCAGCAAACAATAGACGTCTTTTAGACCGTCTAAAATTGGTCTAATTTGTATCTATTGCCGATACGTATATTTTAGACGTATATTAGAGATCAAAAAGACGTCTGATTCTATAGAATCAGACGTATCATAACTATTATTCTATATATATTATATTCTATAGAATCAGACGTATCATAGACGTAAAATAGTATCTCTATAGAGATACTATTTTTGCTCTGTTTTAGATGCATATTAGATGCATAAAATAGATCGTGTATAGATAATTTTTTTTTTCATCTAAACTTAGATGTCTATAAGATGTCTTTTATAGATTTGTTATAAAAACAAGAAAAAAATTTTAATTAATTTTACGGAGCGATAATTATAAATGACCGCCATTTAAAAACCCTGCGGAAACTTATTTTGAATATATATATATATATATATATATATATATATATATATATATATATATATATATATATATATATATATCATATATATATATATATATATATATATATATATATATATATATATATATATATATATATATATATATATATATATATATATATATATATATATATATGTCATTTATGTCTTTTACAAAAAGGGCATATGAAAAGAGATGCAGTAGACGTGTCCAAAAAGATTATTAAAAAATATTAGAATTTTCATCAGTACATATAGAAAAAAAATCGAATGTTGGAACTTCTAAAAGAAATGATTTCTTATCTTGCGAAAATCTAAAAGAATATTTTGACCATTATGAGTCATCGATTTTGTACAATGAATACTCTTATGACCAAAAGCCTAATGAGCATAAGCATAACCCAACTTTATAGGAAAGTTTTTCTGCATGTTTTTCTAACCAAGTAATTATGCACAAAACAAGTGGATTGACAAAGAATAGCAACAAAATGCACTAAAAAACAACCTTTTGTCAACAAAAGAATGGCATAAGTTTCCATTGATAAAGTTTAAGATAACAGATAGTCAGTATCTAACTTGTTTTGTGTTTTTTTTAAAGGTAACTTAATTACTTTTTTGTAGCAAAATGCCAGAACCTCCGCCACCTATTATGAATAAGCCCAATGCTAAAAGTATAACACAAATATCATATTTTTTTCTTAATGGTTTATAAACTGAAATAGATTCTTGTTTAATTTGATCTGAATAATATCTATCTTGCTATTAGTCTTTTTTATGTATTACTAAGATTTTCCTTTTATTTTAACTATTTGGGTGTCCTGTTATTTGTAATGTTGTTAAATTGGTTACATATATTTATATGATTGACAACATTCTATTGTATTAAATAATCTTTTAATCAACTTGATATGAAAATTAAAAATTAATTGAAAGCATGCTGAAATTGTTTTAATTCAGAAATTGAAAGAGTACAAAATTGGTTGAAAGATTAAATTAAGTAACAGGTATGGTTGAGGGATTATTTATAGTTCTAATTATAATTATTTCTTTTGAATAGAGTTGTTATCAGATTCAAATATTGAAGAAGATAATTTTTCTTCACATTTTATTGATGAACAGAATAAAACAAAACAAAGTTCACATTATCAAAGAGTTTCAAGTTTTAATATGAGTATTTTTGGTTTTTACACCAAGGAATGTTAATGTGGAGGTCTTTTTTATTAATTTGTTTTTGTATTAAAATAATTGTATTATTTTAATACAAAAAAAGATAGGTATAAAAGAATAGAAATGTATTATTTATAATATTGTGATCCGATAAATCATGTGTGTAGCATTTTACCTTTAGTAGTTAAACAAAATTCTTTAATATCGTAACCTTTTACAGGATAAAGTTTAAGCTGATTTAAAAAGTAGATTTTCCAAAATATTATGGCAACTTCTGCGATGGAGTAATATTCATTCTCGTTTTACTCGTCATTCAGCTAAGTCTCATTCGTTTACTGTATCTGTCCCTGTATGCTCTAAAAACTTTTATTCATCTAGTTTTTTTCCCCGCACTTCAATCCTTTGGAACTCTCTGCCATCTTCATGTTTTCCTGACTCATACAACCTTTAACTTTTCAAGTCTTCTGTCAACCGTTTCCTTGCTCTATAACTCTGTTCTTTTTTTTCCTAGTAACTCCCAACTTGATAGTGGTTGCTTGCAGCCGTGTTGGGAGTGAATGCAAATAAAAATAAAAAAAATAAAAAAAACTTACATATATTTTTGGAATTTAAGTTTGAGTTACTCAAGCATAATTTGAATTTTAAAGTTGTTATTTCATTGTTTTGCTTTTTGGTTTTATGAGCTAAATATGTTAATTAATTCCTTTGATTCTTGTTTGTAGAGATGCAAAATGTTATTCTCAACGAGCTTGCAGAAATTAAAGTTCTTTTAAAAGAAGTTATAGAAATTAAGTTTCAGGCTACTGGGGTGAAGTTGCTTGAATCAGTGGACGAAGTGGTTACACTGGATAATAAACTAAAAGATAAAACCGAGTATACTAATTTGGTATAATCTAATTATCTTAATTTTTAATAAGTTTGTTTAAATTTGGTTTACTAATTTAGAATCTAAATGAAAAGTATTTGTAAATGAACTAAAATAACTAGCTTGTGTTAGACTCAATATGTTGTAAAGAAATTTAAGTTACACTATTTTTTATTACATTTATTTCAGCTTGATAGTTTGAAAAAGATTGGTGGTGGAAAGCCAAGAGAACATGTTTTTTTGATCATGAAAAGGTAAATGATTATGTTTTTATTAATTATTAGAAATATGATTAAAAGGGACCAAAAGCAATTCATTTTGACCATTATTTGTTATGGATTTACTTTTAACATGACAATTTGATAAACTCGGTAGCTTCACTGTAGGTGTTTAAGTTTGTTTGTGTGCTAAAGTAAGTGTAATGCTAAACCTTGTTTAGCATTTTATTTTCAAATTTAATGTTTTTACTTTTCATAATTTTAAGCATTCATATATTAAAATATATTTTTAATACATTCATATATTAAAATATATAATTTATTAAAATAAAAATCTTTATAAATATATTTCAGTTTATTGTTAAAATATTTATCAGGTTATTTTCGAATCAGTTACAGTCCAAATTTAATCGAAAAGGAAATGGGGAAAAGATAAGCTTAGAAAATATAGTAAATATATGTAGTGTTTTACGAGGTATAGTTTTAATAGTATTTACAAAACTAATATCTGTATTAAAAAGATATTCTTCGACTTTTTTGTGTCATGCTAGAATTTTTGTATCCATAATACAAGTTCCTTTAGTTTTTTCATAAAAAAATTGTTGTTTATTATTGTATCTGGTTGAGATACAAATCTTCTTGTATATATATATATATATATATATATATATATATATATATATATATATATATATATATATATATATATATATATATATATATATATATATATATATATATATATACATGTATATATATATATATATATATATATATATATATATATATATATATATATATATATATATATATATATATATATATATATGTATATATATATATATATATATATATATATATATATGTATATATATATATATATATATATATATATATATATATGTATATATATATATATATATATATATATATATATATATATATATATATGTGTATATATTCACATGTATATATATATATATATATATACACACATGTATATATATATACACATGTATATATATATATATATATATATACATATATATATATATATATATATATATATATATATATATATATATATATATATATATATATATATACATGTATATATGTGTATATACAGTATTGGACAAAACATTTGCAACCAACATCGAACAATGCTAAAAAGTGTTCCTAATTTTATGTCTTAAAAAAAATGTCAGCTGACAGGTGACAGCACACAGGCAGAATTTTGTTGATAAGTGCCATTTTGCAGCATACAAAACAAGTGCAACTTTTTTGGTTTGTTTCATTTTCTCAAGTCTGGTCCTTGTCAACGTCACAGAAGTTTTTTAATATACCAATAAAATAGGTTTTTCAGCAAGACAACGATCCCAAACACACTGCAAAAGTAGTCAAGTAGTGGTTTCAAGACAACTATCTATTGGTGATGGATTAGCCGCCTCAATCTCCGGATCTCAACCCTATCGAGAACCTGTGGGAGATCGTTAACCGCAGAGTTAATCATGAATGTGTTCGTAATAAGGATCAACTGTTTGAACAAATTCAAAAGGCCTAGGCAGCGATTCCACAAAGTTTCATTGATCACCTGATCGAATCTATGCCTTAAAGATGCAAGGCTGTGATCGACAACAAAAGATTCACCACAAAATATTGATAGCAAAATACATCTTGGTCAACATTTTGTGGAGTTGCACTTGTTTTGTTCAGAAGGAAATCAACTTTTTTTAATTCTTGTGATTAATTTATTAATTTTCGTGTACAAATAATGAACTTTGTGATGAATAAAATTTGAAGAACGTTGTCTCTAAACAGTTACATAGTTATTTCTCTAAATTGAAAAAATGCAGCCCTTTTATACAAAGAAACTAAATTAGCATCATTTGGTTGCACTGGTTTTGTCCGATACTGTATGTGTGTGTGTATATATATATATATATATATATATATATATATATATATATATATATATATATATATATATATATATATATATATATATATATATATATATATATATATATATATAAAGAATATTATTTAAAAGCTTCACTTTTTGCAAGTTTAACTTAAATATTATTGAAAAACTTTTGAATTAAAACTCCGGTTGCATATATTGGAAATCAATTGATAAATTAAATATTAGAATATTTAACTTTTATTTATATAATATAAAATTTTATTTTTATATAATTTTTATTCATATATAAATTTTATTTTTTAGTAATCAATATATATTTATGTATGTATTTATACACCTTTGTGTACTTTTAAAATGTTTACTTTCTTTTTCTGAATGTAGATTAACTGGCTAGCAACAGCAGAAGGAAAGTATATATCTGATATAGTACGAAACATTTTGAATGTTTTCATGACTGATGAGTTACAAATGAATTGTTGTCGTTCTGGGAAACGCTCAAACGAGGCTTTTGTAAAGTTTATTGCAAGTAAGTAAAGTATTCTATTAGAGTTCACCGTTTGCCTAGCAAACAAAAAGATATCTAAAAGGCATCTAAAAACTGGTCTAAAAGATGTCTAAATTCAGGTCTAGAACGGGACATAAATAGAGGTCTATCTTATAGACGTCTTTTAGATGCATTTTATTCGACACAAATATTGCCTTAGATGCATAAAAGATGTGAAATATACATCTTACAGATGCATATTAGATGTATAAAATACGTCTCTTAAATAGATGTCTAAGGCGCGTTTAAAAAAGATAGATAATAGATAATTTTTTTAGCTAATAATAGCTCTTTTATGCATCTAATATACATCTAATATACATCTTTAAATGTATATTTCACATCTTTTATGCATCTAAGGCATTTATTTGTGTCGAATAAAATGCATCTAAAAGACATCTATAAGATAGACATCTATTTATGTCCCGTTCACGACGTGAATTTAGATGTCTTTTAGACCAATTTTTAGATGCATATTAGATGCATTTTAGATCTCTTTTTGTTTGCTGGGACTTGTTTGATACAAAGGTGTTATAGCGGTTAAGTTAGTCATAAAAAATGATTAAATTAAATAAGTAAAGAAACATTTTAACTAAAATTACTTAATTTTATTTCACAAATATATACATAAGAAACTATATTTCTGCATTGCCGTCAACATCTTCTTCCACGTCGTCGATATCTAAAATATATACATTAATGACATTTAAATGACTTATATGATATATTAATTATATATATATTGATGATATATATAAACTTGAAATATGATTTTTAACCAATATAAAGTGAAAGATAGTCAACCCACTAAACAAAGGTAAATCTTTTTTTCTTAAAATATTTATTACTAAAAATATTTTTTTTATTTTTCCAAAAATACACTTATACAAAGTATTTTTATATAATTAATTAAATAAACTTTAAGCACTAGAGGCCTCTCAAAAAATAATCAGTAGTGCTGTTATGGTATTATAGCAAAATAGTAATAATAATATTGATAAAAGTTCTATTGTATCAAATAACGATGGCATCCACCATGACCAACCAACAAAATCAATACCGTCAAAAAACTGGACAAGCTCAAGTACAAAAAAATACAACCTAAGGTCATCAAACTATCCACCAAACACTTGACATCTTCTCAAATATCTCTTCTCACCAAAGGTCCAAAGTTTTACCCGGCCACAAATGGTAATTTCTTACATATCGATTCAGATATTAAAAATTTTACTAGGAAACTTATACTAAAAGAAAAAGTTTATGGTGCTACAAGTAGCGATATTAGTATAATTAAAAATAAATCTAATTATTTACCAAAACCACTCTGCCAGAATTAAACGAAATTATTTCACAAATTGAACAAACTAAACCTATTAAAGTCCAATATATTGATAACATTACAAAAGAAGAAAGAGCAGCGATTAAAGAGTTACAAGAAATGAAAGACATAGTCATTAAAAAAGCTGAAGAAGGTAATACTTTAGTTGTAATGGATTCGACATTTTATACTAACAAACTTGTTTATCAAGACCATCTTTTGTCTGTTAATACATATGAAAAAATAAGTACTGAATCCGATAAAATAGTTTTTAGCAATCTTATTAAATTGATAAACAAACATAAATACCTCAGGACAAATGAAATAAAATATATCACAAAATTTAAATAGAAATATAGTAATTTCTATGTAATTCCTAAAATTCACAAATGCCAAGAAATCATTAAAAAGGTAAAAGAGTCCAACTCTTTATTCATTGAAATGAAACCACCAAAAGATCTTACAGGTAGACCAATTATTGCTGGAATAAATTCGCCAACATCTCGTTTGAGCCAGTTTTTACATATAATTTTATCACCAATTGTAAAGAAACAAAATCTTTCATTAAAGATGACTGGGATTTCCTCAGAAAAATTCCAAGAAAGTTTGAATCAGAAAGTCGTATTATGACATGCGACATTGTCAATCTTTACACAAGCATCCCACATTATCTTGGTTTAGAAGCCCTAAAGTTCTGGATATTTAAATATAAAGAATTGATAGATAAAAGATTTACATCTGAATTCATAATTGAGTCACCATCTTTTATTTTAAATAACAATAATTTTATATTCGATAAACAATTATTTCACCAAACAACTGGTACAGCCATGGGTACAGATTTCGCGCCAGATTATGCTTGTCTTACTATTGGGTTTCTAGAAAAGACTAAGCTTTTTCCAGTAATTTTACCTCAGTATTTTTCAAACCGTGAAGTAGATGAAATAAAAAAATTTTATTTTAGATATATTGATGATGGTTTTATAATCTGGCCAAAACATCTTGATATCATAAATTTTAAAATTTCTCTAACTGAATTAAATGAATCAATTAGTTTCACAACCGATTTTGCCAAAAAGTTTTTTAAAAATGATAACACCTACAGTGTAATTAAATTTTTAGACATTACTCTTGAAAACTATAAAAAAATTTAAACAGACATTTATTATAAAGAAACGAACACTCGTGACTACTTAAACTATAACAGCCATCATCTACTACACATCAAAAAGAATATTCCTTATAATTTAGCTAAAAGAATAATTGTTTTTACATCTAACTACGAAATTGAAAAACTTCGTCTAGCTGACTAAAGCCATGGTTGAAAGATTGTGAATATCCTGATGTAATTATAGATAAAGCATTCCATAACGCAAAACTACAAGGACCAGCTTCAAAAAAGTCTAAATAAATATTTCCTTTAGTGACAACATTCTATAGTAATCTCAATTGTCAACCTTTAATAACAGAAACTAACCTTTTACTCAAAGTATCAATGAAAGAGTCAAAAATGTTTTTTCTAATATTCATCCGGTATTAGTTTTAAACAACCTCCTAACTTATTAAGAAGACTTAGTTTTTTAAAATTTGAAGCAAATAATAAGAAGATTGGCATATTCAAATGCAAAGACATTCGATGTAAAATCTGCAAACTCTACCTTCAAGAAGTAGATGAGCTTGAAACTCCTAATGGTACTATCTAAAAAATAAAAAGTCACATCACATGCAACAGCAAAAATGTAATTTATTACCTTAAATGTTTGGCATGCAAAAAACAAGCCGCATATACTGGCAAAACTAACAATTTAAGATTACGAATAAATGGACATATTTCTAGTTGCAGAACTGACCTATCAACTAATAGATTTGACAATCACGTTTATACCTGTCAACGCTCCCACCAAAATGTAATTGAAGCTTTTTTGCAACTTTTTGTTTTCCTTGAGCTTAATAATGAAAGTTTTTTGTTATCATACGAAAAGTATCTGCACAAACAAAAACATGATACTTTTAATTGATACTTCCTGTGTATTATTAGAATTGAATTTATCAAAATAGTTACTCATAGCAACAATATGCAATTAAACTTATTTTGTATACAAAAACTTTGCTATAATACCATAACAGCACTACTGATGATTATTTGAAAGGCCTCTAGTGCTTAAAGTTTATTTAATTAATTATATAAAAATACTTTGTATTTTTTATATAAAAGTACTTTGCATATGAAAAGTACTTTGTATATAAAAGTACTTTGTAAATAAAAAAAATATTTTTAGTAATAAATATTTTGAGAAAAAAAAGATTTACTTTTGTTTACTGGCTTGACTATCTTTTGCTTTATATATATATATATATATATATATATATATATATATATATATATATATATATATATATATATATATACTATATATATATATATATATATATATATATATATATATATATATATATATATATATATATATATATATATATATATATATATATATATATATATATATATATATATATATATATATATATAAAAACAAGAAGATTTGCATCTCCACCAGATACAATAATAAACAACAATTGTTTTATGAAAAAACTTAAGGAACTTGTATTATGGATACAAAAATTCTAGCATGACACAAAAAAGTCGAAGAATATCTTTTTAATACAGATATCAGTTTTGTAAATACTATTAAAACTAACCTCGTAAAACACTTCATATATTTACTAGATTTTCTAAGCTTATCTTTTCCCTATTTCTTTTTCGATTTAATTTGGACTGTAACTGATTCGAAAATAACCTGATAAATATTTTTACAATAAACTAAAATATATTTATAAAAAATTTTATTTTAATATATGTAATAAATTAAAATATATTTTAATATATGAATGCTTAAAATTATGAAAGGTATAAGCATTAAATTTGAAAATAAAATGCTTAACAATGTTTAGCATTACACTTACTTTAGCACACAAACAAGCTTAAACACCTACAGTGAAGCTACCAAGTTTATCAAATTGTCGTATTAAAAGTAAATCCATAACAAATAATGGTCAAAATGAATTGCTTTTGGTCCCTTTTAATCATATTTCTAATAATTAATAAAAACATAATCATTTACCTTTTCATGATCAAAAAAACATGTTCTCTTGGCTTTCCGCCACCGATTTTTTTCTATCTAGCTGAAATAAATGTAATAAAAATTAGTGTAACTTAAATTTCTTTACAACATATTGATTCTAACACAAGCTAGTTATTTTAGTTCATTTACAAATACTTTTAATTTAGATTCTAAACTAATAAACCAAATTTAAACAAACTTATTAAAAATTAAGATAATTAGATAACACCTAATTAGTATACTCGGTTTTATCTTTTAGTTTATTATCCAGTGTAACCACTTCGTCCACTGATTCTAGCAACTTCACCCCAGTAGCCTGAAATTTAATTTCTATAACTTCTTTTAAAAGAACTTTTATTTCTGCAAGCTTGAGAATAACATTTTGCATCTCTACAAACAAGAATCAAAGGAATTAATTAACATATTTAGCTCATAAAACCAAAAAGCAAAACAATGAAATAACAACTTTAAAATTCAAATTATACTTGAGTAACTCAAACTAAAATTCTAAAATTACATGTTATTTTTTTTATTACTCCATCGCAGAAGTTGCTATAATATTTCGGAAACCTACTTTTTAAATCAGCTAAAATTTTATCTGTAGGCAAAAGAGGCAGATTGGAAACCTAGTAAAAAATAATTTTGACTAAATAAACTTTGCAATAATAATCTAATAAAAAAAACAATCCACTTAAGTTATAGGTAAACCGCTGAAAATAAATTAAAACTTCAAGTTTTACAGAAATTCTTATTTAATTTTGACAAATAAACAACAACAAATAATATTCAGATTTATGTCAAACCGTTACTGATAACCAGGGGTGTGGAGTTGTAAAAAAAAAGTAATGACTCCGACACCAGTTGTTGAAACTTTTTGAGTACAACTCCAACTCCGACTCCAGTTGTTGAAATTTTTTGAGCACAACTCTGACTCCAACTCCAACTTCGATTACAACTCCAAAGCATTATTTTAGAAAAAAATTTTAAATTCTTTAAAAAATATTACGGGATAAGTTAAAAATTTCTTTTATTACAAATTTATGAAACGTTCTTTGAGGTTTAGTATGAACATAAGGTTAATTGAATGTTTTGTACATGCATGTACAATACTGAGAAGTTTTACTATTGGAGTCGGAGTCGCAATTTTGTTTAGCGACTCCGACTCTGCTGAAAATGTCTCAACTCCGCAACTTGGACTCCACAGCCCTGGTGATAACTTTCGTGTATTTTTCTTTGGGCGTGGCTCAAGAGCATATCTTGATATTTTCTCCTGCAAAAGGTTACGATATTAAAGAATTTTGTTTAACTAGTAAAGGTAAAGTTGACCAAATGCTACACACATGATTTATCAGATCACAATATTATAAATAATCCATTTCTATTCTTTTATACTTATCTTTTACAATTATTTTAAAACAAAAACAAATTAATAAAAAAAACCTCCACATTAACATTCAGTGGTGTAAAAACCAAAACTACTCACATTAAAACTTGAAACTCTTTGACAATGTGAACTTTGCTTGGTTTTATTGTGTTCATCAATAAAATGTGAAGAAAAAACTTCTTCAATCTCTGAATCTGATAACAACTATATTCAAAAGAAATAATTATAATTAGAAATATAAATAATCCCTCAACCATACCTGTTACTTAATTTAATCTTCCAACCAATTTTGTACTCTTTCAATCAATTTTCAATTTTCATATCAAGTTGATTACAGGATTATTTAATACAATAGGATGTTGTCGATGATATAAATATATGTAACCAATTTAACAACATTACATATAATAGGACACCCAAATAGTTAAAATAAAAGGAAAATCTTAGTAATACATAAAAAAGACTAATAGCTTGATAGATATTATTCAGATCAAATTAAACAAGAATCTATTTCAGTTTATAAACAATTAAGAAAAAATTATGATATTTGTGTTATACACTTTTAGCATTGGGCTTATTTATAATAGGTGGTGAAGGTTCTGGCAATGAAGAGCGGTATGATTTGTTATTCTTATTTTTAATGCTTTCTTTAACATATATCTCATCTGGTGTAGAAAGTTGTATTCTTCACAACATGAAAATGAATCTAATTATAAGACATTTTGCTACAAAAAAGTAATTAAGTTACCTTTAAAAAAAACACAAAATAAGTTAGATACTGACCATCTGTTATCTTGCATTTTATCAATGGAAATTTGTGCCATTCTTTTGTTGACGAAAGGTTGTTTTTCAGTGCATGATTATAGTTTTTTTTTGGGACAATAAATTTGTTGCTATTCTTTGTCAATTCACTTGTTTAGTGCAACATTGCTTGGTTCGAAAAACATGCAGAAAAACTTTCCTTTAAAGTTGGGTTATGCTTATACTCATTAGGCTTTCGGTCATAAGAGTATTCATTGTACAAAATCGATGGCTCATGATAGTCAAAATATTCTTTTAGATTTTCGCAAGATAAGAAATCATTTCTTTTAGAAGTTCCAACATTCGATTTTTCTTCTATATGTACTGATGAAAATTCTAGTATTTTTTAATATTCCTTTTCGACACGTCTACTGCGTCTCTTTTTGTATGCCCTTTTTGTAAAAGACATAAATGAATCTTGGTTCCTCGATAAAAACGATAAGTGCACAACCAATAAAACAATCTTTTGTGTTATTGAAAAACACTCATATATATATATATATATATATATATATATATATATATATATATATATATATATATATATATATATATATATATATATATATATATATATATATATATATATATATATATATATATGTATATATATATATGTATATATATATATATATGTATATATATATATATATTTATATATATATATATATATATATATATATATATATATATATATATATATATAATATATATATATATATATATATATATATATATATATATATATATATATATATATATATATATATATATATATATATATATATATGTATATGTATACATTTACATATATATATATATATATATATATATATATATATATATATATATATATATATATATATATGTATATATATATATATATATATATATATATATATAGCACTCCACGGCAGCACTCCACGGCGAGTCAGGCTATTTGTCAGTCGATGTGTATGTACTGAAGCCCCCGGCAGCAGGCTATTTGACATTAGGTGACTATGACATCATTAACCTAACTCAGCAGTATAAGATATATATATATATATATATATATATATATATATATATATATATACATATATATATCTTCATATATATATATATACATATATATATATATATATATATATATATATATATATATATATATATATATATATATATATATATATATCAATTTTCCTGTAAAAATGTAATGCGACTTTCGTTCTTTTTTAGAGTGGTTTTGAGCGATATAAATATTATAGCCGCACGTAGGCTACTCCAACGCCATCCCATAATGTGGAGTGGTAAATATATGGCTAATATATGTTTCCAACACGTGGGCCACATGAACCTTTGCACACAAATGAAGCGTTGGCTTTCGTTCTTATTTAGCGTGGTTTTAGTGGGATAAACATTATAACCACATATAGGACGCATCAACGCCATCCCATAAAGGAGAGTGGTAAATATAAGGCTAACATGTGCTTGCCACACGTGAGCCTCATGAAACTTCCACGCAAAAATGAAGCGTGGCGTTCGTTCTTATTTAGTGTGGTTTTAGTGAGATAAACATAGCCGCATATGGGACGCATCAACCCCATTCCATAAAGGACAGTGGTAAATATATGGCTAACATGTGCTTCCCACACGTGGGCCACATGAAACTTTCACGCACAAATGAAGCGTGGCGTTCGTTCTTATTTAGTGTGGATTTAGTGGGATAAACATTATAGCCACATATGGAACGCATCAACGCCATCCCATAAAGGAGAGTGGTAAATATATCGCTAACATGTGCTTCCCACACGTCGGCCATATGAAACTTTCACGCACAAATGAAGCGTGGCATTCGTTCTTATTAAGTGTGGTTTTAGTGGGATAAACATTATAGCCACATATGGGACGCGTCAACGCCATCCCATTAAGGAGAGTGGTAAGCATATGGTTACCACTCTCCTTAATGAAAAAAGTGCTCCCTAACTTATCGAAAATGGGTCACTCCATTAGTTACATGGCTAGAGCTATTGGACACAGCCAAACTGTGTTTAAAAACTACATTTATAATCCTCATATGTATCGAATAAAAAAAAGTCCCGGAAGTCCATCAACATTAAATGACCGTTATAGGCGAAGATTGTTAAAACAAGCTTCTAATTTTTTATTAACTCCACGTCAAATTGCTGCAGAAGCAGATGTGATTGCTATTTTACATACAGTTCAGTGAGTTATTCATAATGCTTTTCACCTTTCGCGCAAAAACCTCAGCCAAAACCACCTTTGACAACAAATCGCACAAGCAATCTAACAACTTTTGCAAAGAACCACGTAACATGGAATGAAGAATGGAAACAAGTAATATTTTCTGACAAAAAACGATTTTGTCTTGATGGGTGATAAATGGAATAGATAGATGGAATTATTATTTTCACGATTTGTGTAAAGAACCAGTAACACATCAACAACATCGTATTGGTGGTGGTGGTATAATGATTTGGTTTGCGATTGGGTATCATGGTAAATCAAAAATTTATTTTATTGACGGTAAAATGAAAGCTAAGGATTATCTTTTAATTGTTCGAGATTTTTTTAGACGTCAAGCATCTGTAATAAGTAGTAAAAATTTTGTTTTTCAGCAAGATAATGCTAGCATTTATACAGATAGTAACGGAGTATTTCAACAGCATTAAAGTTGAAATATTGAAGTGGCCAGCTAGATCTCCAGACCTGAACATTATTGAGAATGGTGGAGCACAAGTGTGACATTTAGTGTTTGAAGGTGGTAAACAATATAGTTCACTAGCTGACTTGAAATCATCCATCGCATCTGCATGAGATACATTTGACATTTCGTACATAAAAAGTTGTATAATTCTTTACCTTCTAAAATGATTGAAGTGATTAAAAAAATGGTAAAAGTACACACTATTGATTGTTTAAAATTGAGACGTCTTTTTGTATAAATGAAGTTTTTCCAAAAATGTCTTATAATTTTGTCGCACTAAAAAAACTTTTTTTAATAAAATGCGAGTTAGTTTTTTTTAGATTTAAAATAATTTTTTTTTAATGTTGTTTAGTCTTGTAATCCTTTTGCTCTCATTTACTATAAAAATTAGTTTTGAAATATAAATGTATATTAGAGTTTTATAAAGATTTTTGGGGTGTATATATATATATATATATATATATATATATATATATATATATATATATATATATATATATATATATATATATATATATATATATATATATATATATATATATATAAATTAATGTCGCAATAGTTTGAAAAATATACAACAATTTTCAAAACGCTCTACTCTAGCCAGAAGTATTTTATGACTGCTATTTCTCATTGAAAGTAAATTGAATATGAGTTGTATAAATATAATATTTCACTTAAAATACTCACAAGCAATTTATTTTCATAAAAATAACTACGTGAAATCGACAAACTCGCAACTTCCGTGCGTGACTTCCGTGCGTGACCATACATGAACAGCATTATCGAACTTAATTTATTCTTTGATAACATTACTAATTTATACCATTCTTTGTTTACAAAATATTTATAAAGATTAGAATTAAATGAGAGAAAATTGGAGATCGACAGTTTTATACTTATAAAAATAATAAACAAAACATTTACGAGTTTCCGTGCGTGATTTTTTGAAAATGCCCCAATATAAAAATAAAAAAGTAAACTGTAACCAACTTTTTAAGCATTTATATCGATGAAAATCTTAAAATCGATAAAAAAAAAATAGATTGCAAACTTTAGCAGTAATCTTTCAAAAAAAAAAGTTTTGTACAAAGCGAGAAGTGTTTTAAATAAGTGTACATTAATTTAATTATATTACTCTTTTATTCACTAACACATAAACTAAAACATAAAACGTTTTTTGGAGAACAAATAAAAATAAACTTAATCATTTTTTATTTTTAACAGAAGCTTGTGACATGTTATATATATTTAAAGACCTTCATTTCAAAAAGCCTCAAAAGCTGTTAGTGAATATGAACTTAATGCTTTTAATGTTTTTTAAGGAAGATTAAAATTACAATTTTACGTTACATTAATATTACATTTGAACATAAAACAATTGTTTTATGCTCAAGTGTAAAAGTCCCCGAATATTTTTCATGATTTGTTGGGGCCGACGACACGGGTTTCGAAGTGGAAGGGCACAATTGTCTATTTTTTAAAAAAAGTCTTCTATACCAAGAATTTCTTTAAAAATGAAAGGCCCTAAAGAAAAAAAGTTTGTGTATGTGTGTGGGGGGGGGGGGTGCATGTGCCTCTGGCCCCCGATGTTGTTAGCTCTGTTTGTATAAACGATAAAATATATTTTGCACAATAATAATTATATTTAGCAGGCTTTTTTTCCAACAAATTTAAGTAAATTTTGCTTTTTACTTTAAAACCAGTGAATTAAAGTATTCATTTTTTTTAATAACTATTGTAAATCTTTAATCAATAAAATGTTATTAGTTTACATAAAAATTAAGTATATTAATATGCGAAGTAAATATTATGATACATCTATCTTGCATTCCCAGCCAATCGCCTTGGCATATTTTGACTTTTATAGTATTTAAAATTACATTGCTTCTTTAGTTTACATCTGTACATCAAGTGTCCGGAGTTACCCGCCGTCCGGGGCTGCCCGACTTTACCGTATAGATTAGAATTAAATTATGAGTAAATTGGAGATCGCAAGTTTTATTATTATGAAAAAAATAATGTAAAGATTCCACAAAAATTAATCTAAATCAACAAAAATTAATATAACTCAACAAAAATTATTATAAATTATTTATTCCAGAGATAATTATGAAACTAATATAACTTATCTAGAAATAATCATGAAACTAATATAACTTATATATTCCAGAGATAACTATGAATTTAATATAATAGATAATTAAGAAATAATTATAAAACTAATATAACTTATATATTCTAGATATAACTATGATATTATTGTAATTTATTTAGATATAATTATGAAGTTAGTATAACTTATATATTCAAGAGATAATTATATTAATGTTATATTAAATTTAATATTTTTATATACTTTATCAAGAGCAAGTATATGACGTTTATTTTCAACTAACGGAGTCTATTTTTAGTTATTTACGATCTTTAAGTATAAATTATCCTAAAAAAATTTCTAAAAAAATTCTTGCTTTTTTTTGTTTAATATCTTGTTTAATTTTCAATAAACATAAAAAAGTTTTTTATTTAATACAAGAAATACCGATGTTTAATTTGCATTTGCGATGTTTAATTTAATACAAGAAATACCGAATGCTTATTTTGCAGCGATTCTCGAAGACCAAATAAAATACAAGACCAAGTAAATTACAAAGAAATTTTGATACAAAAAAATTGAAAAAATGTGGTAAGTTACTGATGTTTAGCGCAACAGAGAATGATATTTAGCATGTAAGAACATACGTGATACGTTTAAGCAATGTTGTTCAAAATCATGGTTTTTTGAGTGCGATCGAACGGTAAAGTCCTGCGTGGTTGGCTATGTTATTCTCCAAAAGCTTGTAAGCTTAATATTCAAGCTTACAAGTTTTTGGAGAATAACACATTCTCCAAAAGCAATATATAGCACATAACATTTCGTTCTAAAACTATTTATGTTGTTTGTTTGCTTACAAACGGATAAAATCTACTTTTAACTTTAGCTTTAACTCTTTTAAAACAAGTAATACTTGATATCATCAAGTCAAAATCAAACAATTGATATCATCAAGTCAAAATTGAAAATATCAAGTAATACCAATATAAAAATTTCTAAATGCATTATAAAAAAATGTTTATATTAGAAGCAACTAAACTTCATAGAGAAAATACTACAAGATTTTTATTTTAAAATACAACTTTGGGGTCTGCTCACCACAATACACTTGATGCGCTAAAGAAAGGTAATAAAGCAATTCAACAGATTTCAAAAAAAAAGAAAAAGCTCACCATAGTTGAAAGTAAGCAGATTTACTGCAATGATGAATAAGTTAGAGACGTTGACAGTACCTGGTGAATGCACCAGGTACTGTCAATGATTTTAAGAAAATTTGGCAAAAATGTCATAAAAATAATTAAAAAATGCTGTGTTTCTTAAAACTTTAATTCAAGAGCTTTGTTCTTAAATAATTTAAATATTTTAATAAATATCTTTTTGTTTCTGCAACACTATGATTGCATAAAGGTAACTAGAGTAGTCATCCAGTCAGGTAGACCTAGGATTTTAAAAATAGATTTTGATCGAGTTGTTGAGGGAAAATATAAAAGGATTGTTATACAGAATAGTAGTAAGACTTTTTCTGAGTTGAGAAATAATACTTTAAAAAATAATAATAAAGAGAGGTGGGGGGGGGGGAACATTATATGCATTCAAAGCAAATGACTATACAATAGCCTATGTAAAGGCGCACCTATATTTTGGAGCTGACTTAATAAGCGCTTGGGTAACTAAAGAAAAAATATTAAAAAGTAAAAATTGAAAAAATTACTATAAAAGAAGAGCCCCGGCTCAATATGAACCTTTAATCACTTGTTTATAACGCAGCACACGCCAATTATTAGCACACTAATCAACCGCGCTACTGTGTCAGTGACTTATATTTTAAAAATAGTATTATATAATGAATTATATCTACTATATATGCTAGTAAAAATTTGAAATATATTCTATCAATTGCGAACTAGTAAATTATATACTATGACTAAATAAAGTGAATTGTACAGGCGTGGCGCAGTGATTCGACACCAATCATCAGGAGATTTTTTTGCAATAGGTATTAAAAAAATGACTCTACATTACAATGTATTTGTCTCATAGCTATCATATATTATCATAGTTAATCATATTTATACATTATTCTAATGATTTGCAAGTCAAAATTAATAAGCATCAGTTCTCTTATAAAAAAAATAAGCATCAGTTCTCTTATAAAAATGTTCAGTTTGTTGTTTTGTTTAAAAAATTTGACTATGAAATTACGTTGACAGAAAACAAAATTTTAACGAGTAAATGTAGAGAACTATAGATGTTTATATTTATTTTAAATATTTTTATTGGAAATAAAAAATATTAATTAATTTTATTGGAAAGCTTATAAAACTCCAATGCTTTCCAATTTCTAGCTTTTTTGCTTTAATTTGAGTTGTCCTCCCCTATAAAAAGAGCAACATTTCGTGGTATTAGAATAATAAGGTTCGATCTCTTTTTTATAATTTTGAGAGAATTTAACAAATTTTAATATATACTTTTAAATTTTTAAAATCAAAAAACAAAATTTGTTAAATTGCTTAAATTAAAAGATAAAAAAAAAATTGATTGCTTAGTTAAAAAATGAAAGATTGCTTAGAATATTATTTACTACTTATTAAGTAATATAGATTGGTAAAAGACAAAATATCGTGATATAAGAACTATAAGATTTTATCTTCCATTTTTCATGTCGAGAAAAATTTTACTTTCGGTTTTGATTATTTTATTACTTTTTTTTTTCATATATAACATGATATTGGTTTATTATTTTAAAAAAATGTAAAAAAATTGTTTTAGTTGGTAAGAGTAAAAAAAATTTACTTAACAACTGCATAGCAACATTTACTTTTTATAGATATATTACCCAAAAACTAGATTTAAACAATTATTTCTTTTTATGGGACTGTATAATTAACTAAACTTTTGACTTGCTATTAACTTGACTTGCTATTCAGTAAACTTGTTATTAAAAACATTCTTAAAGACACATTCTTGGCACTACGGTCAGATGATTTGTTATGAAGATACCTGGCGCAACACAAAGTCCAAATAAAGCTTTCAACCAGATAATCTGGAAAAAGTGTCTAAAAAACATTTTTTTTACTATATAGGTACTAGATCTTGGTGTC